CCTACACTTGTAACCCTATGTGTTGTATGTATGCATGCATGCATGCATGTATGTATGCGTGCATATATCTATATATCTGTATACATATATATATATATATATATATATATAATGGTTACTTGTATAACAAACTGTAAATGTAGAGGCCTCAATGATTATATTCACGATCTCCGACTTTTTTGAATGCTATACGTGCTTCAGGGAACCCACTGGGATACCCATTGCTAATTAAATGTTCAAAGCACAAAATTAGCTAGTGAGATCCTCAGCGTACGGACTACCTAATTGAATCGAAACTCCACGCCGTTGCCTCGGCTGTTCTTCCGAGACGAGCGGGGGGTTAAACTTGAAACCAGAGAACGTCCGAGCTGAATTTCCGCTTCGAACCCCAAAAATGCCATCAGCCCATTCTCCACACAGAAACACCAAAGTCCTTAAACAAACCTAAAGCATTCAACACCAAAGACACCAGGCCTAGATCCACTCCTGGTAGAAGCCGGCGCTGCCTGCGATGGTACTACACAACATATACAGGCCTTGCTAGTTCAATTCTAATCAGACTAAGGTTTTGGGGTACCCTTTAGTGCTACCAGTAAATACAAACCAAAGCAGCATAACTTGTCGAGGCAGGGACTCACTTCTTTGCAGGATCGGAAGTATTTGTGGTTGACTGTGTGGGGGCTGAGGGTTTTGGGGAGTTTAAGATTTTGGGGTCACGGTTTATGCTTTCGAGCATGCGGCTGACGGTTTTGATCTGCGGCGTTACTTGCCTAACAACGACCGGAGGAGAATCGTGCTCGAATGCGAGAACAGTGCGACTAATATCATTGCAGGCATATCACATATAAAACACAGGAACTTAAAGTCATGAAGCAGAGCCCAAGCACCAGAACATGTGCTTGAAGTCCTCTTCTCCCATCTAAGGTTCAGCTCCGGAAGCCGTGAATTCTGAACCCTAAAGTCCAGATTTCAGGCAGGTCCCGAAGCCAAAAAGCCCTACAACCTTAACTAAACCAAGGCTGTTGCTTCAGGGTTTAGGGCTTTGGGCGGATTGGCATACAAAGGGCATCTTCGCACGCTAGCGGATGGCTATTACTACTTACTCCCGGATAAAACCCTGTGTGTGAACATTGCATCTGATATCTTTTGCATGTTGTGCGTTGTTCGGACCCTTGCCATCTAGGAAAATTCGCTTGGTGGACCCACAATGTGAGCCCTCCTTCTCTTAGTGCTCAACGCATACGACAGCGAATTCTTCCTCTTAGAAAATCCGCTTCGAGCCCAGTTGAAACTCGAATAAACACACTATCCGTTGTGTCAACCTGTCAACCTTATGTCACCCTGATAAAGCCCTATTCCAGATCCTATATATGTTTCTGTGACCGCGAATTCTGAAGCACCTTGCAAGCTCAGCATGTAGCATGCGACAACCTTGAAACAGACCCAGGAACCCCATACATTTACCTTGAATCCTAAAACCCTATAACCCTCGAGCCCCTATCGGAACCCTTAAAGGAATCCTAGGGCTCCTAGGCACTTGGGACCTTAGGGACTTGAGGCTCCTTGGGAGTTACGGTGTAGGGTTGAGGACTACGGGCGTTCAGGGCACAAGGGACTGGGCATTTGGGCCTAACCCGAAGCCCCAAAAAGCCCCAAAACCCTAAACTCCTAAACCCCGCAAAACCCTAAACTTACCGTACAGACCCTGCTGAGGAGGAGTCCATGGTAAGGGGTTTTCCCTATGCCGACGCGCTCGTACTTGCTGTACTCCGCCGTAAAGGCGAAGTTGTCCTCTCTGCGCTGAGGGTTTAGGGTTTGGGGTTTAGAGTCTAGGGTTGAAATTTACGGTTTGGGGTCTAGTCTTCAGGTTTTAGGCTGTCATCCTGCGCCTCACACCAGAGTTTCTGGCTGACAAGCCCTAACATAGGGGCCTTAATCATTGGAATTGGGGTTCCTTGAAAGGGATCCTTAAAGGGTTCTATAAGGGATCTATAGTAGGGTTCTATAATAGGGGCCTCAATAATTAGAATAGGGGTTTGGGCTCCTTTATAATTTACGTACATTTTTTGCGGAACCTTAAAAACATTGGAGTTATTTTGGCCTCTATATTGCACCCCTGGGCCCCCGAAGCACCTTGTCTGATTTGCGGCACTCATGTTCACGGCTCCATCTGGGAATCTGCAAAACGTTGAATGCCCTACCGCTTGGTTCACCATTAGATTGCTGTCCAACTAAACTGAAGAAGCCCCAATCTAGAAAGAGCCCTCAGGAGCAAAGTTCCCCAGCATCCCCTTTGTCATGAGTGTAGTTTTCTTTCCTGCAATACAGTTTTACTGAGGAAGCTCCACAATGCAAGGGTACAAGGGTGCTTCAGGGGGACCTGGTACACAACATGCTCATCGACTCATGTGGATTGCAGAGGAGCCTTCAACCTTAAACCGTAAAGCATCATGATTGAGTGTTCGAAGCACTGACACCGGCGGTCACGCGGGAAGGCACGCAACTCCGGCGGGAGGTTCTGGAAAAGATCGCCTTTGAAACGTTGGCGGGTTTCGGGTTGAGAGGATAAGGGTTGAGCGGATTAGGGTTTAGGCTATAGGGGCTCAGGCCTTATGGTTCAGGTGGGTACAGACAAGACGGCTCACCTTCCAAAGCGATGTCTGCACCAATCCTCTTCAGTTTAGCCCGGCCTCGGATTGCTACTGTGTGGGTAGTTCTCCAGAGTAGTGCTCCCTTTTGGGGTCCTTTTTCTACGGGTGCCGTGCCATTTTGGGGACCTACAAAGGGACCCTACGTTAGAGACCTACCAATGGCTTACTGGGCGAAGGAAGCTCCTAAGTCGAAGCCCAGCATGCTATAAGGGCGATACTCACCGAATCGTTGTTCGATTTAGGGGAGTGCCCGAACCTAAATCCCAACTTAAAGGGTCATGGGGCTCAGAACTCGTAAGAAAAGGTTAAAGGCTTAGGGTTTAGGGTTCAGGGTTTGGGTTTAGGTGACCATAGTGAGAGGTAACTTATTACCCAATTCCAAATACGTACTTGTAACCCGACTCAAAGAGTCCCCTGATCCCTCTTTAGGCATACCGTAACCTCCGAGTGAACCCTCACGAGCCCCTTCAGAGCCTGTCCCTTTACTAGACCCTAAACCCTAGACCCCTAAACCCGTAAACCCCTTAACCAATAAACCCCTAAACCCTTAAAGCCCAAACCCCTAAACCTTGAACGCAGGTCCTGTATGAACCCTGCTTTCTCAAGTCCCCTGATCCTCCAAATCTTAAGCGCCCTTAGAACTACGGTTAAACAGATCTTATAGTCTTAATCATCCCTTGGAGTGTTATCTAAATGTAAAAAACTGGTTCCTAAGAACGACCCTAAAAGCTAAACCTTAAACCCTAAACCCTAAACCCTAAACCCTAAAAGCTAAACCTTAAACCCTGCTGGGCGGCCGTAGATCTGAAGCGACAGGCAGCCCACACGCCGGTCCTTCGCAGGGCTCGTTTTTGGGTTTCGGCTGAGGGGCTCTGGGCAACCCAAGACATGAAGGTAGAACTAGGGTTTTGGTTTAGGGTTTAGGGTTTAGGGTTTAGGGTTTAGGGCTTAGGGTTTAGGGTTTAGGGTTCAGGGTTGATAAGGGCTTCATGGGATTTCGCTTTCGGGGGTGAACTAGAGTATAGGCTAGAGGGGCTACAAGGGCATTGGCCAGTGCACCCTCTTTCACCTTCAAAAACATGGTTACGGCTTCGGGGCATCTACAGAACGGTGCAAGGGAGGGATTTTTGTGGGCTTTTGAACTGTTGGTCAGGGCCATTCTTGGCATTGGAGTACCTTCCGGGCTTCAGGGCACCGCAAAACTTTCAAGAGGAAGCAAACCTCAAAGTCTGAATTCGGAAACCCTACACTTCGACAGACCCGAATGCTCCTGATAAGAGTCTTCCTAGTGCCTGCAGCGAGTCTTGCTGGCTTTAGGGTTAAAGGGGCTCACGCAGTTTCGCGGTCTTCATGCTAGCCCTTACGAGTTTTAGGGCGGATGGTTCCCCGAAACCCTAAACCCCACACCGATTTGAGGGTTTTTGGGTCTCCGGTCTCTGGAAAGAAGGCCTGCAGCGTCGTGCTCAAGCGCAGCATTCGAAAAGCGCTCTGGCGATGGTCGGGCACAGGCAGTTCCACGATGAAGCTGCTGGCGTGGCTGCCCTCGGTCGGTTTTACTTATACTATATTATTGTACTTTGTTCTTTTCTATCTTATAGTACCTGGTTCTTTTCTATCTTGTACTGTTTGTAAATTTTAGCATGTCAGACCATAAGGTCATAGCAGATACTCTTCACTCAAGGCAAAACCTTTCGGGAGGGATTTGGGGATTGCGGAGTGGTGAAGTTCTAGAACCTGATTTAAATGCCCCTAAACCCTCAACCCGTCTCAACCCTCAAACCCTTAATCTTAGTTTCACGAGTTCTGGGTTTGGGGTTTACGGTTTGAGTGTTTAGGGTTTAGGGTTTGGGGTTTAGGGTTCCCTCGCCAAAGAAAAATCTGAAAGGCTCGAGCAAAGGGCATTCTTCTCACAACCTGGCCGGTGACAGTCTATAACAGCTCACAGAAAACACTGTATCAAAAACACCCACAGACATCTATGATATGACAGCTGAACCCAGTAGCAATACTCAAATCCATACGGGTCACTCTCAAAGTCTCAATCCCTTTGGCGAGCCCGGTATCATCTAATTCATTCTACTCTTAACTCGGCACCATATGGGTAGTTGTCAAAATTATGGTCCCTTTTGGGGTACCCTAAATAATAGGTGCCGTATAAAATTATGGTCCCTTTTTGGGTCCTTATTATAATACGGCACCTATTATTTAGGGTACCCCCAAAGGGACCCTAATTTAGAGGACCATCCATATAGCTTGGGAGCCCAAAAGAGAGGCCTAGCTTTGACAACCACCCGATACAGCAGCCGAGCTTTGGCTTGGCTTTGGGGCAGAGATCTGGCGCCAGGCGTCGGATTCTCGGCCACGGATTCGGAAAACTTAGGTGCAAAGACGTCATGCAGCACATGGGTAGTTCTGCGAAAATGGGGGGGGGGTACCTTTAAGGGGTCCTTTTTATACGGGTGCCGTGCTATTTAAAAAGGGACCCCTACTTTGGAGAAGTCCAGATTCCCGGGCTCAGAGTGGATTTAGGGTTTAGGGTTTAGGGTTTAGGGTTTAGGGCTTACAGTTCAGGACGAAGGGTTGGGGCTGCAAGGGTTCGAGGAGGTTGGAGGAAGTGGAGCTGGGTGTTCAAACCTCGACCCTAAATCCATAACGCCTAAACCCGTCGAATACAGGTCCAGGATTTCCAGCCCAAAGCTGCAGAGTTATGGGCCGTGCCATAAACCCTCCCTTTAAGCCTTCTCATCCACCGAACCTTGGTGAGTAGTGGCTAAGCCCCAAACACTACTGAAAGGATCTTGGTGCTCGGCAGCTCTTGTTGTGTTTGAGGTAGTTGTCGTCATAAATATGTATAACCCCAATGAAGATACCTATAGCCCTGCTTACGAAGTCCCCTGATCCTCCAACCCGAAAACAGCTGAAGTCACCGACAGCCCTCCGAGCCCTGAAGCCACAAAACTCGACCTCGGAAGTACCCTCAGAAAGGGCCAGCATAGGCCTTAATAATTAGAATAGGGTTTTGGGGCCCATTAATCATAATAAGGAACCCCCAAACCACAGCTTCCAAAGCTAGCGCAAACAGAAAGCAAGGATTCAAGGATCCTAAACAGTCTTTTGGTTCAAAACAGCGGGGTTATTAATCAGGAAATGGTAAAAAAAGGGTCCTGCGCCCCCCTGTCCCACACTCATGCCATTTTAGGATCTCGGCTTCAAGCCTTAAGCCCAAAACCGTGCATCCATACTGACATTGCTAAGAACAATACCATTGCTCTCAATAACAGTACTAGCATTACTAGCAGTACTATCATTACGATACCACGACCGTTGAAATCCCTGCTTCCATTACCATTTCCATGGCTACGGCCATTACCACCATGACTGTCAGCGTTTTCACAACTATCAAGATTTCCGTTACAGTCAAGTCTTCATACCTGTATCATAACAACGATTACCATCATGAGTTGCCGTCGTTGCCAATGATTTTATTATTGTGTAGTCGTCTTGCTATGATTGCTACTGGTGTGCTGCGAAGGTTGATACGATACCTATCATATGTTGCTACCTGCTTTCACTATCATCATTGCTTGTATTGTAGCGTCTAAGGCTTGGCATTGCTGCAGCCCTGGGCACTCGCGGATGCCAGGGTCTCCCTTGCCTCCTACGCTTGGTTCGGGGGATTGTGCGGAGGTAGGGCTGCAAGGCTTTAGGGTTTGGCAGTTTGGGCCTCAGGGGCTGGGTTTGTTAAGCTCTCTTCTTGACACGCGGCAAGAGGGAG